AGGTGCCAGTTTGCCGAAAAGCTTGGAATCGGCAGACGGTGGAGGGCAGCCGGCTGAGCCGCCCGCGGGCAGGCAGGATGGGCTGCCCGGCAGGAGGGCCTCCAGGCCTCGGCCACACCCCACCTGGCCCAGGTGAGGGGCTGCCAGGCCCAGGAGGCAGTCCAGGCCCGGGCCTGGCTTAGCCTCCTCCTGGGGCCCGTGTCCAGCGCAGGACTGGCTGCAGGGACGGGACCCTTCCTTTTCCCCAGCTCATGCGGGCCCCAGAGCTCAGGCCGGGACCCACCTTTGCCACCGCCACCTGTGTGGCTTTGGGCAAGTCATTAACCTCTCTGTTCCTAAGTTTCATCACTGGGAGAAAATGGAATGAACACGGATGTGGGGCAGTAAGAATACCTGCCTCTTAGGGTTATTATAAGGAATAGCAAGACCATACTGGGAAAGCCCCTGAAAGATGAAGTCTAGTTATTTAATTTTCCAAATTGGGTGATGTGGGGGTGGAAGGGCATCTGGAGAAAATGAGGAATTTTTAACTAATTATTGAATTTATTAAACAAGCCTCGACTCAGCTATCCTGGGTGTGAGCCGATAGAAGAGCCGGAGCTGAGGAAATGGGCACCCCGAGGAGTTTTAAGACCTGTTCCCCAAATACAGCTGGGGAAAGGGGCAGTGGGTGCTCGGAGCAGGGGTCCCTTGGCAGGGCTGTAACCAGCCAGGGCCGGAGCGGGAAATGTCCCCTGGCACTTACACGGCTGGGGCTTGAGGGAGACCCGGAGGCTGGGAAGAGAGGCCGATTAGAGGCTGCATGGCGACTTCTGAACACACAGGAGTCGGGGGACTGTGGGCCATTTGGGGTGCTCCAGCCGTCTCGGGGGGCAGAGATCTAGCTGTCCTTGCACGGGATGCCGGGGTCTTTGCCCGTCCTTTGCGGGTCCGGGAGCCGAGGGTCTCCTCTGCACCCGCCCCAAGGCCGAAGGTGGCTCAGAGGTGGGGTCCCCTCTCTCTCGAGGAGCTGAAGGTGACAAGGAGCGAGGCCGGTCCCTCTCATGGGCACGTGCCGGCTCCCTGGAGTGGGGTGTGAAGGGCCAGCCCTGCCAGAGCCAGGCCGTGGGTGCCGGGACAGACCCCGCTGCGGGTCTCGGCTCCAGGACCCCGCCCAGCCAACGGCGCCTAAGCCCCTGATCAACCTCTCCTCACGCTGCGCCCCAGGAAGTCTTGGGGTTCTCGGCGATGCCGAAATGATGATTTGTATGTGTTTGTTGATATGATTGAAGGAATAAGAAGCTCACCCTTCCTGAAAGCCAGGAACTCGGGTCTGGGGTACGATGGTCTCCTGTCTCAGGACAGATGTCTTTCTGCTTGTAGCCAGGAGGTCAGAGCAAGGAGGGGCTTGTGCTTCTTAACATGGTTCTTCCTAGAGCGTCCCCACCCCAGAGAGGGTCGTACATCCTTCCAGGAGTGAAGTAATGAAAGACCCCTTGTTATGCAGATCTGGGTTCAAATGCCTGCTCTAACCCCTCTGAGCTGTGTGCCTTCGGGCAAGTCACCTAGCCTCTCTGTGCCTTCTGAGACACTTTTACCTCCTGCTACTGCCAAAGGGGTAGATAAACTGAGATTAAACAAGGAGAGGTGATGCTCCAAGCATGGTGCCTGGAACAGAGGAACTACTTAGAAAATTTTTGTTGCCTCTGAATCCGAAGACATCCTCCCACCGGGGGGGTGAGAATAAAGGAGCCAATGAAAAGGCAGGTCATTGGCCAATCGAGCAGAGGCGGCAGCTGTAAATACGGCTCACCCACACCAGGGTGGAAGCACACTCCTGTCCTGTCTCCCCCTTTCTAAAAGGCTACCCCGCAACCTTACAGAAATGCACTGGAAAGAGTCAAAAGTGAGGACTTTGGGGTTCAAAGGAACATTTAGTTAGAAGTAAGCAGCCTCCACCTAATAATAGTAACTAACATGCATTAAGCACTCGCTGCAGGCCGGGCCCTGTGTGAGCACCAGCCCGTCTGATGCTCGCCCTAACCCTCTCCACTATGCCCCATCTCACCCCTGCCTGGCGTAGGACGGAAAGTTCTAGGAAGCGGAGCTTACCTGGCCTCGGGAGCTCGGTAACTGGCAGAATTGAGACGCACACCCAGGCTGCCTGCCCCCAAATCCAAACCCACCAAGTTAGATTGTCTTCCAAATGCAGAAATCCTCTCTGCAGCCCAACTTGGCCCCATTCTCTAGCTTTTGGGAGAAATACATTCCATCTCTTCCTGTAGCCTAATCCGAAAACGAGGCATCTTTCACTTCACATTTCACAGCCACAGTTCTTTCTTGCACATAAAATCTATCAATCCCGCTGGCTCCCTTCTCCGTCCTGGGCGCATGTTATAGGCTGTTGGCATGTGTGTCTAAATAAACATCCATCAGCCTGGGCCAATGCTGAACACTTGGCTCCAAAGGGTGGCGTTGGGGGCTTGCAAACCCCTCACCTTTCTCCCAGCGCTCTCCAAACACTCCCTTTCCGTGCATCTAGGAAAAGCAGAACAGTTGGTTTCTCTTCCTCCACTTCCATAGAACTTTCTAGAAACCTCCATTAGACTAGAATAACCTCCTGTATTTCTGGCTTGCACACTATGCTGTGAGTGTCTACAGGCCAAGGTGGAGGGACAGACATTCACTGTCCCCTTGGTACTGGGCTCTGCGCCACACGTACTGCATACGTACTGCATACGTACTGCATATGTTACATATGTGGTGGATTCGTTCTTTACAGCAGGCCCAGGTGAAGTATTAATGGTCCTCCTTTACAGGTGAGGAACAGGAGGCTGACAGGAGAGGTGCATTTTCCCAGATTACAGGGCCACTTGTAGAGCTGGAGTTTCTGTGGCCTCATTTGCCAGAGAGACCATGCCATATTCAACCCAATCCCCCTGGCACCTCACAAAGAGCCTGGCACAGCTTCCCGGCAAATGTTTGTTGACTGACTTACCAACTGACTGAATAAAAGAATGAATGAGCAAATGTCTCGTTTCCAAGAGAGCTGTGGAGCGGGAGCTGCCTGGAATGATTTAGCTGCCTCGCTTAGAAGCACATACTAGATTGGAAGAGCACGAGCTAATAGAGCTGTTGCACACGCTACATGTAGATTCTACTGTTCAAAGCATTGGAATATAGTAATATCAATAATATAGTTTAAAAGCCTGCCAAGGGCATTTTCTACAAATCACCTTTTATTTCTTCCGACTCTGCCTAAATGAAATTTGTTGCATTTGGGAAGGCGGGCCAGCTACAGTTGACCTTTGAACAAAACAGGTTTAGACTGCGCTGGTCCACTGATATGTGGATTTTTTTTCCCACCTCTGCCACCCCTGAAACAGCAGGACCAGCCCCTCCTCCTCCTCCTCTTCCTCAGCCTACTTAACACGAAGGATGATGAGGATGAAGATTTTATATAAATCCACTTCTACTAAATGAATAGTAAATATATTTTCTCTTCCTTATGATTTTCTTAATGCTATTGTCTCTAGCTTACTTTATTGTAAGAATACAGTATATAACACATATACAACACGTGTGTAATCAACTGTCTGTTATCAGTAAGGCTTCTGGTCCACAGTAGGCTATTAGAGTTGAGTTTCAGGGGAGCCAAAAGTTGCATGTGGATTGTTGACTGCATGGGGGGTCAGCACCCTAATTCCCATGTCGTTCAAGAGTCAGCTGTCCTTCTTTTGGCCTGTTAATTGAGGGGAAGGTTTTGCGCATTCTTCAAATTGTTCGAATCATTCTTCAACAGGCATACAGATACAACAAGTGCCAGGTCTACCCAGACAGGAGAGTGGCAAAATGCTTTTTTTTATCATGGTTTAATTTACAAACCTGGTACATCTGACTTTTTAAATCGACATTTGATCATCTAGCATGAGTTGCCCCTGATTTTCACTGGCTTTTCCCCTTTGGTAATGGTCTCCAAGAGGAATTGCTAGAATTTTCTTGGTAGAAGAGAGCTTAAAGTCATGACTTAGCCTCCCTGCTTTAAATGTGAGGATATCCAGGTTCCCAGAGACAAAGCAACATGGTTAGAGAATGGCAAATCTCACACCACAGTCCGGGTATCCTATCACCAAGCCAGAGTTCTCTGTTTAAGTAAAAAACAAGTGGAAAAACCAAGAGGCTTCCCCATGGAATTGTGTGCACTGCTGTCCTAGGTCCCTGAAGCTCCCCTCTTGGTAACAGAACTGATTTAAAAGTAATTAAATGCATGCACTGATAGCCACTGTGAGTCTTAAACATGATGATGTGCTATGTTCCTATAATACCCCTCTAAAAATCGACCCCAAGAAAATAATCAGAAATGTGGATGAAGAAATGTGATTATGAACCACGATATTCATTATTACATTATTTATAACAGAAAAAAAAAACAAGTAACCAGTAAAGGAACATCCATAGGATGGGCTATTAGTCTGCCATTAAAATAAAGTTATGAAGACTACTTAATGATTTTAGAACATGTTCGGGATAAAATACTAAGTGGAGAAGGTAGGAAAAAAACATATGGCCATCGAATAATTTTAAACATGTAAAAATATGATATGCAAAATATGTAGAAAAAAGACTAGAAAGAAATGAACCAAAATATTATTAGCAAAGGCCATTCATTCAATGATCACTCATTGCATTTGTTGATCACCTACTATATCTCAGCCTCTGAGCTATTCACTAGAGATAAGGTGTGCAGAAGTAGAGTGGTTTCCTGTCTTCATGGGCCCTCCTGTCTGGGGTAGAAGTGGGCAAAGAGATAACAGTAAAAAAAAAAAAACAAAACTTAAAATTAAAAAACTTAAATAAAAAAATAAATAAAATTAAACTTAAAAAAATAAACGTAAAATAAACTTGTAATTACACATTGTGATCACTGCTATTAAGAAGTTTATTTCTGGAGGGTGGGGTTACAGGTGATTGTCATTTTTTCGTTTTGTGGGTTTTGTTTGTTTGTTTTATGTCCTTCCCGCTTTTCTTTTCTTTTTTTTTTTTATTGTGTATAGTGTTTATTTCAAATATTTGTTAAAACACCATTGTTATTCCTCAGGACAGGAGCAAAGATCACCCTCTGCAGAAACTTAGAAACTATGTACAGAACTTTACAGAACAGAGACAATGCTTTAGCTGAAGCCTGACTGCTGACCAGAGAATGGAGTTCTGAGTGGACTTGGGAACAAAAGGAAACCAAGCAGGGAACAGGAAAGTGCCCATGAGAATCACATTTCAGCTGCCATCAGGACATATCTTGTGGTGGTCACAAATTGTAGGCTCTGTTTTTGGAAGGTTCGGGTGCAGCACAGGATTCCATTTGTCTGCAATCAGATGACAGGACAATGGGTGGCATCATGAATGCAAAAGCACTGGTGGGAAACTACTTGGCTACACCCCTGGCTGAGGTGCCATAAGGTCAATGTCACTCAAGTTCCTGGCCAGCCAAACTCCCGCAGCAAAGAGTCCCAAATTAAGGATCAAGTTCCTCCGGAAATCATTCCTATCGGTAGCAAAGCGATAGACGCCCCGTAGCCAATCTCCCACGTTGTCCGGAATTTCAGGAGCCTCATTTGCGACGGCCGCAGTGCTCACTACAACCCCGCTGGAAGCCATGCTAGTCCGTTTCGCTTTTCTTTTGGTCTCAAATTTCCCATAGTCGGCCTGTCTTGACTTCATGATCAGAAAAATAGAGGACTTATAAAATCTCACACAAATCAGAACCCCAAGTACCTGCGCTGTTTCTGGTGGCCCCGCGGACAACAGAGCCCCGTGGGCAGGAGTCTGGTTCAGCCCCTCGGGAGGGGCCTGGGCGTGGGGGGGGAGCCCGCCTCTGGCGATGCATGCATGGCTGCGTGAGTGTCCTGCTGCTGCCGCCGTAACAAATCCGCTCGCCTGTGTCGGAGCCTGGCGGAGGCCTGCAGCTCTTGGCTTGCGGCCCCTCCCTCGTCCTCACCGTGCACCGAGGTTCCATCACCGCTCGGCCTTCTCGCTCCTACAGCCGAGTCTCCCCTTCGCCTCGTGAGGACATTTGTGGTTACGTTTAGATTATCCACCTGGATAATCTAGGATCCCCTCCCCATCTCAAGATCCTTAATTTAATCACACCTGAAATGTCCCTTTGTCACCTAAGGTAACAGTCACAGGTTCCAAGCTCGAGGATCTTCGGGGGACATTCTGTGGCCTACCTAAGCTGTGGCTTATCAAATGCTTGCAGGTTTACCGAATGCCAAACCTGGACAGCCAGTCCCAGGACAGCCTTGCCTAATTTGCGAGTGTTTCTGTTTTGTTCTGTTTTTCCTGAGAAAAAAGAGCCAGGTCTGAAAATTCATCTGTGGCATCAGGGCCACTTAAATCCTCGCTGGCTGTCCACACGCCCCACCAGGTCCACTCCGGTATCTGAAAGCGTTTGCTTGGCAGTCTGCATCAACAATGGGAGGGATGGCACACAAATAAAAAAAAAAAGAAAGAAAGAGACGGAGAAAGAGAGGGGAGAGGGGAGGACTATTGTAAGCTAATGCTTGCATTTCAAACATTCAGTCCGGTTAAAACGTTGACATCAAGCATTGTGTATGTCCCTGGGAGAGGCCTCTCTGAGTTGTGTATCTCATGGGTGTCATTGGATGTTATTGTTGCCTTGCTAAATATTCATGGATGAATGTGTGGAATAAATTCCCTTGTAAACTGACAGAGAGCAAGTAAGGCCTGTCCTTGAGTCTCTCATCTGCATCCTCGTTTCTGAAAAACTGTCTATTTGGGAGTGAGAGTGTGTGTGTGTGTGTGTGTGTGTGTGTGTGCACTAAAGTGTGGACGCTGTGTACTTGGTTAATTTAAGCAGAAGAACATCAGCAAAGATGCATCTCCCCAGTTTGGTGACCTCAAAGTGGGTGGTGTTTAGAGAAAGCAAGTTTTGCTCACAGAATGGCTTTGATAAAGCCACTCTCTGGCTTCAAAACCAGCCTCTTCATGGGGCCATGGCTTGTTTGCTCAGAGCTGGGGTGGGTTCTAAGAATTCCAAGAACACACACACACACACACACACACACACACACACACTCAACAGGGAAGAGCTTCTTCTGACCCAGGACAAAGTCCCTGGGGGTGGCCATGGGCCAGAGTGCTTCTGGGGGTGAGAGAGAGAGAGACTGGGGTGGGGAAGACAGAGCACACTGGGATACAGAGCTATGAGATAGGAAGAAGACAAGGGAGGACCGGTGACCACAGGAGACTGCTGAGATGCCACCTTCCCCAGGACACCTCCTTTGACCCTTGTCTTGTCCCCTGCCAGGCCTAGCCAGTTGCCTGGCCTCGGGGTTCCTGCGGCACACCGCACAGGCATCCACGAGACCAGACTAGGAATACTGCCTCACTTGAATGTCTCCCCTGCCGGTCTGAGGGCTCCTCGAGGACAGGGACTCCCATGCTGCTGTCTTCCTGGCACCGGCCCTGCTCCATGTACTCAGAAGGTGCTTGCGGAAGACACTTGTCCCAACATCCTTTTGCTCCACCTCCGACAGTCAGCACAGTCTCACGCTGAGGGTGAGAACTGCACTCCTCTGGCTTCTTTGCAGCGAGGTGTGGCCGAGTCCCTGTGCTCTGGCCAGTGGGGACGGGAGGGAGCAGACAGGCTAGATCCCGACCTCCTGCCTGTCCAGCATAAACGCACGCCTTCCCCTCGCCCTGCCGCCCTTCTGGCTGGCTGGACTCTGGGCAGCCACCTGGGCCATGAAGTCAAGGGCAACACACTAAGAGGTCACAGCAACAAGATAGGAGTGGCCTGGCCCACTTTGCTATGAGGCTGCCATCCAGCTCTGCACTGTTTAGGCTCCAACTGTGTACCTGGGAGAGAATTACAATTCTATCTAGACGAGGATCTGGCATTTTGGGTCTCTGTTCCAGTGGCCCCGGCTAAATGCTATACAGGGCTCAGCGTGTTTGCTCATTGACAGATGATAACAGGCTTGGAGCCTTCCCTGATACCCCAAGCAAGAATCCTCAGTGTCCCTTCCCCGGGGACAGAATAAGCCCCACTCCCTCAAAAGATGTCCACACCGCAATTCCTGACATCAGTGAATATGTCACCCTTAAATGGTAGAAAGGACTTTGCAGATGTGACTAGATTAAGGAGGATTGGGACGAGGAGCCCACCTAGTGTGGGATCCTGGGACCAGAGCCAGTGAGCACAGTGCAATGCTACAAAGACCAGCGGATGCCACAGCAGGACGTCCAGAAACCTGACAGCCACACTCCTCCTGGGAGGGGACGGAAGGGACCAGGGCTCCTCTCGTTCCATAGGGTGAGTAACGCCCCGACTGGAGGTCAGCAGGGGCCTCGTGCGGGTTGCTTCACCCCCAGCACCTTGCAGACCCCCTCGGCCCCAGGCTCTATCTTGGGAAGAGGAGGACAGAGCTTTGAAAATGGACAAGCAGCCTGGAAAGAGGCTAAGAGTCACCTGGCAGCAAGTGAGTAGCTTTCATTGGCTAAATCCAGGTTTCTGCCATCGCAGGACTGGGGACCCGAGAGCAAGATGAGAGTAGTTATATATTTTGGGGGTGCACATCTGCACGTCTGCATGAATCCCAGCCCAGCCACTGAGGGAAAGGAGGAATGGAGGAGATGTAACTTGATTCTTACCAGGTTTCTGGAAACTTCTCACAGGCTTGTTGCTGGGAGAATCTTGCACAGGGGACAAGGATGTAGACACAGGTGGGTCTGTGAGCCAGGTGAGGCTGAGGCCCCACGCGAACCAGCCTCCCTCTGCTCGGGTCATAGTGGGAGCCGGGGCAGTGGCAAGGGGCACAGTCCCTACCCTCCAGTCCCCTGCAGGTCCTTTCTGGTCACCACCGCACTCGGAATGTCATCTACTAGGTGTTCGTATTTTCTTCTAAGCGTCAAGATTCTGATCCTTCTCCAGGCGTTCCTGAAGGCCACTCAGGGAAAGTTGTCGCAGCAGCTGCAGCAGACAGAGCTGCATGAGAAATGCCCTTCCGGTCTCCAGGCCCCCATCTGGGCGCCCAGGGCGGGGCTTGGCGAGGCCCCTGCCCCTCCAGCGGCACTGGCTGAGCTGGCCTGCGAGGGTCCATGGCCGTCTACACCGTGCCCTTCCCGAGAAGCTTTTCCTACCAGGGTCCCTTGGGTGGAAAACCTCCTCCATGTCCAAGGGCTGGGGGGTTGGGCCCGAGGTAGCAATTATTACCGTTTTACTGTTAAAAAGGGAAACTTTAGAGGCTTTGACAGGGTGGAAGTCTGGTGGAGAATCTCTCGGTTTTCTACCTGGCATGTGGGCAGCAGACCCAACTCAGACACCGAGAGTCACCGTCCCCGAGCATCTCTGGGGTGCTTCGTTTCTGCGGCTGATTCCTGCAGCTGTTGTCAGCTGGGAGTTCTCCCCCTTGTAAAGTCTGACCCAAACTAGGACACAGCTCTCCTCCCAGCAGAGGGACATGGGGCTGTCACAGCACGTGCCCACTGAGGAGCACTTACACGAGGAGCACGTGAGTAACGAGTACTCAAGGCGAGGAGGTGCCCTGTCCGCCGGGGTCCACACGCACACCGTGCTTTGCAGCCTGCCTTGGTGCCTGGGCCACTGCATTGCCCACCGCCCGGTCAAGGCTCGCCACTACAGGGCTCAGTAAGCCCGTGCCGTTGTTAAAAGAGCTGGGACTTGGGCCGGGCGAGGTGGCTCACGCCTGTAATCCTAGCACTCTGGGAGGCCAAGGCGGGAGGATCGCTCAAGGTCAGGAGTTCGAAACCAGCCTGAACAAGAGACCCCGTCTCTACTAAAAATAGCAAGAAATTAATTGGCCAACTAAAAATATATGTACAAAAAATTAGCCGGGCATGGTGGCGCATGCTTGTAGTCCCAACTACTCGGGAGGCTGAGGCAGAAGGATCACCTGAGCCCAGGCATTTGAGGTTGCTGTGAGCTAGGCTGATGCCACGACACTCTAGTCCAGGGAACAGAGTGAGACTCTGACTCAAAAAAAAAAAGAGCTGGGACTCTCAACGTGCTCAACCCACAAGGCACCTTAAAGGCCTCGCCTGACGTCTAAGGTTGCAAGTTGTCCCCGTGTTCGGCTAGAAAGGATTCCTTCCAGGTACTTAAACACGCCTCACATCCCCCTCTCCCTTCGGGGTTTCTCATTAACAAAACCAACTTTCCCACCCGTGCCCCGATGAGCCCCTGACTGTCTTTCAGGACTGGGACTACGTTTCTGGGGTCACGTTTCCCCGGCTGCAGGAGCCCTGTCATGCCCCAGGCCCTTTGGGCTGCCCGGGACGCCAGCCCTGGGGGCCCTTGTCCTGCAACTGTCTGCTGGCGTCAGCTTCCCGGCGGAGCCTGGGCTCCTTCGCCGTCAGGGTGCGGGGCTCGGCTGCGCCTGGCACCATCTAGTCCTCAGCGCACGTGCGTGGGGTGAGCCAATGCAGGAAGGCACGGATGCAAGCCCGCAGTGTAACCCTGAGCATGTGACAACCACATACCCCAGCAGCAGCGCCCTGGTAGAGGTGGGGCCCTTGCTCTGTCACCAGGACAGTCCCTGCTTGCAATGCATTCAGATATTCACTGGGCGTTTTGCGCGTAAGAGCAGGCCTCTCATGGGAAAATTCCATTAGCAAATAAGAGCTTAGTTCCCAACCGACCTACTGTGCTGCCACTGTGGGGATGGGGAGGGGAGAGCCCTGGCTCATTTCTT